AGCCAAGGCGGGAACTAAGGGAGGGCAGGGGCCTGGAGGCGGAGGGAAGCACAGCCTGTGAAGGACCCTGCTTGGTGGCCTGCTCTGAAGGCTTGCTCACACTGCTTTCTTACACAACTGAGGACCACCAGTGGCGGCAGCACCAACAGTGGGCTGGGCCCTCCCATATCCATCATTCATCAAGAAAATGCCCGACAGACTTGCCTGCAGTCCAGCTTGATGGAGACAATGCTTTGATGGAATTCTCCCTTCCCAAATGACTCTAGCTTGTGTCAAAGTTGACAAAAAACAAACAAACAAATAAAACAAAACAAAACAAAGAAAAGCCCTAGCCATCATAGAGTCCATCAAGATGAAGACTTTGTAGCCTTTGTAGCCATGGGAACCACTGACCAATCACAGGGAAGTAGTTTGCAGGTATAGATCATGAAAGGGCAAAGATTTGGCCCCAAGAGCAGACCAGAGCTGGCTTCAGTTCAGCAAGACTTTCTTCCCAAGATCTCTTGTTATTTAGAGCAGCTAGCTCCCAGACATCCCTCATCTAGCCAAGGCAAAAGGATGAGAGGGCAAAAAAGGCACAATCCCACCCCGAGCTTTGGGGCCACAGCTAACATATTGCTGTTCCCTTTCTGGTAGCCATCTTCCATCCGAAGGGCAGCTGACTTCAGCCACAGCTGGTTACAAGGTGCTCCACAGGAAGACGAGAACAAAAGAATGGAGCCTTAAGTTCAGCTGGGTTCTAACAGGAGAGCCTTGTCTGGAGTACAAACGTTGCCCACAGTCTTGTGGATTAGGACAAGATACAAAGGCAACATGAATGTCTCCTTCCAGTACAGAAGTTTCCTTGGCTGTGGGAAGTGAGAGTAACCTCGCGTGAGTGAGCATTCACGACATACACATAGCCATGGCAAGGACCCCCATGACCCAGACCTACAGAAACTGCAAGACCTTCTCCTAGCTTAGGATGGGGATGTTGTCAGTGTGTGCAGAAACTCTGTCAATCACATCCTCCCCCTGAATGACTCCTTCAGGAGACTGCTCCCCTACAGAGGCCTCCCACTGAATTTAGTCACCCACAGTCTCCTCCTTCTTCAGAGGTTAGCACAGAGTTTCCAAGCTGCTGGTGTGGGTCCATTAGAGTGCACAGCCCACCTGATCACAGCTTTTCTGTATGTGTTTCCACAATTTTTTCATTTTCATTTTCCTTCACCCTAATCAGGTCAAGTCCAAAGCCATGAAAGTTGTGGCGCTTGATGTTCATATACTGGACTTGAAAGAGGAGCTCTAGGCTTCCTAGATGAGGCTGGCCTCCTTCCTGTAGCCCTCAAGATCTCGTCTGGGATCATTTCCTACTTTGGTTGAGACCTTTCTGGCAAAGGGGCCTCTTTCTCCACAGACCTCCGACTCCTTTCACTGAAGGATGGGATTAGCAAGCACGATCTGACTGCTCTCTTCACTGCTGGGGCTGGGGAGTTGGTGTAACACTTGCATAGTTGAGTTGGTACTCAGGCCACCATCCTTGGATGGAGACTCCACCTCTAGGATGGAGTCCATGTGATCACAGTAGACAATCTTTTTCATGTGTTCTTAGATTCAGTTTGTAAATATTTTATTGAAAAATTTTGCAACTATGTTCATAAATTGGTCTATCATTCTCTTTTTTATTGAATCTGTGTGGTTTAGATGTTAGGGTAACTGCAGCCTCATAAATGAATTGGGCAATGTTTCCTTTCTGTTTTGTGAAATAATTTGAGGAGCATTGGCATTGACTATTCTTTGAAAGTCGGTAGAATTCTGCAGTAAAACCATCTGGCCTTGGTTTTTGGTTGAGAGAATTTTAATTACTGTTTCTCTTTCATTAGTGGTTATAGATCTGTTTAAATTTTTTACATGATCTTGATTTTAACTTTGGTAAGTGATATGTATCAAGAAATTTATTCATGTGTTTTAGATTTTTCAGTTTGTTGGTGTACAGGTTTTTAAAGTATGTCCTTATAATTCTATGGATTTCCTCAGTGTCTGTTGTTATGTCCCCCTTTTCATTTCTGATTTTGTTAATTTGGATATTCTTTCTTAGTCATTTAGTTAATTTGGATAAGGGTTTGTTAACCTTACTGATTTTCTCAAAGAAATAACTCCTTGCTTCATGTATTCTTTTCATTGTTTTGCTTGTTTGTTCCTATTTGAATAATTTCAGCCTGAAGTTTGATGATTTGTTGCCATCTAATCCTTTTTAGGCATGATTTCTTCTTTTTATTTGAGCTTTCAATATGAGATAGTATGAGATCTCTCCAGTTTTTCATGTAGGCACTTAATGCTCTGAACCAGCTTCATTGTGTCCCATAAGTTGGGGTATTGTTGTGTGCTCATTTTTATTCAACTCTAGGAAGTTAATTTCTCTCTTAACCCAGTTTTTATCCAGTAGTGACTTGCTCAGTTTCCATGAGTTTGTAAGCTTTCTGTTGTTTGTTACTGTTGGTAAGCAGCTTTAATCCATCATGGTCAGGTAGGGTGCATGGTGTTATTTCAATTTTCTCATATCTTTTAAGGCTTGCTTTGTGTCCGAGTGTGTGGTCAGTTTGGAGAAAGTTCCATGAGCTGTTGAGAAGAAGGTACATATTCTTTTGTGTTGGGTAAAATGTTCTGTAAATATGTTAGTTTATTTGGTTTATAACTTCAGTTAGCTCCAGCATTTCTCTGTTTAGTTTTTGTCTGGATGATCTGTCTATTAGTGAGAATGGTATACTGAAGTTTCCCGTTATCAGTGTGTGAGGGTCAATGCGTGATCTGAACTGTGGTAGTGTTTCTTTTATGAACTTAGGTGCCCTTGCATTTGGTGCACAGATGTTAGGAATTGCAAGGTCCTCTTGGTGGGTTTTTTCTTTGATGAGTATGTAGTGTCCTTCCCTGTCTCACCTGATTAGTCTTGGTTTGGAGTCTGTTTGGTCAGACAGTAAAATGGCTACAGTTGCTTGTCAAGTCCATTTCCTTAGAATCTTTTCCCACCATTTTACCTGAGGTAATGTCTATTCTTGACGCTGAGGTGTGTTTCTTGGATACAACAGAAGGATGGATCCTGTTGTCACAACCATTTTGTTAGTTTGTGTCTTTTTATTGGGAAATTGGAGCTACTAGTGTTGAGAGCATCAATGATGATGTTTGTTGATTCCTGTTATGCTGCTGTTGTTGTTGTTGTTGTTGTTGTGGTGGTGGTGGTGGTGGTGGTGGTGGTGGTGGTGGTGGTGGTGGTGGTGGTGTGTGTACACAACTGTATGTTTCTCCTCTTGATTTGTTGGTCTGGAATTATTTATTGCTGTGTTTTCTTGGGTGTGGTTAACCTATTTACGTTGATGTTTTCCTTCTAGTGCCTTTTGTAGTGCTGGATTTGTAGACAGATATTACTTAAATTTTTTTATCATGGACTGTCTTATTTTCTCCATATATTGTGATTGAAAGTTTTTCTGGGTCCAGTAGTCTGGGCTGGCGTCTATGGTCTCTTAGAGTCTGTAGCACGTGTGTCCAGGCCCTTCTGGGTTTTAGAGTCTCCACTGAGAAGTCAGGTGTTATTATAATAGGCTACCTTTATATATTACTTGGTCTTTTTTCTTTGTAGCTTTTAATATTCTTTCTTTGTTCTGTATGTTTAGTGTTTTGATTACTATGTGGTGAGGGGACTTTTCTTTTCTGATCCAGTCTATTTGGTGTTCTGTATGCTTCTTGTCTCTTAATAGGCATCTCCTTCTTTAGGAAGGAAATTTTTTCTCTATGATTTTGTTGAAAATATTTTCTGTGTCTTTGACCTGTGTGTTTTCTCCTTCCTCTATTCCTATTATTCTTTGGTTTGGTCTTTTCATAGTGTTCCAGATTTCCTGGATGTTTTGTGCCAGGATTTTTTTTTTTTAGTTTTTTTTTTTTTTTTTTAATTAATTCTTTTTTTTTTTTTTTTTTTTTTTTTTATGTGCATTGTTTTTTGCCATGGTTTCAGGTCCCCTGGAACTGGAGTTACAGAGAGTTGTGAGCTGCAATGTGGGTGCTGGGAATTGAACCTGGGTCCTCTGGAAGAGCAGTCAGTGCTCTTAACCGCTGAGCCATCTCTCCAGCCCCCAGTTAATTTTCTTTGGCCAAGGTATCCATTTCTTTTGAGATTCCCTCCTCCACTTCTTGTATTCTGTTGGTGAGACCTGCCTCTGAGGTTCCTGTTTGAGTTCCTAAATTTTTCATTTCCTCAGTTTGGGTTTTCTTTATTGAGTCTATTTCCACTTCAGGTCTTGAACTGGTTTTGTTTTGTTTTGTTTTTGTTTATGTTTCTGGTTCTTTCTACTGTTTGTGTTTTCATAGGTTTCTTTAAGGGATTTATTCATTTCATTTTTAAGGGCCTCCATCATCTTCATAAAGGCTGTGTTAAGGCCTTTTTTTTTGATAGCCTTCACTTATGTTGCAGGACTCAGGGCCCGGCTGTGGTAGGGTGGCTGGGCTCCAGGGGAGACAGGGTCACATAGGCCGTGACCTGGCTTTACTCTGGTCCAGGCGTCTGGATTTGGGAAGACTGTAATTCCAGGTGCTGACATCTGGTCTTCTCTTTGCTGGGTGTGTATTTTGTTCCTTAGTTTCTGTTGCCTTCCTGGTTCTTAGGAGAGTGTGGTAGTTATGTGTTGCCTGTTAGGAAATTCTTCTAGGATCCTCAGAGGTGTGGTTCTGGGAGCTCCATTTAAAATGTGTTTCTAGGTATTGGGAGCTGATACTTAGGAATGGGGATGGGCTAAAGGGTGGGGGCTGGAAGGGTCCATAGGAGGGAGGAAAGCCTATGTTCCACCAGCACCTGCTTTGTCTCCTGGGAATAGGGGCAGAGAGTGAGGAGAGGCTGATGGCAGGTGGCGTGCTACAGAGCTGGGGATGTGAGGGTGGGTGGATTTGGAGGAGATTGGGGGTGGGTTTGGAGGGGAGGAGGGACAGGGGAAGCTCTGAAGTTAGCCTGTTTCCCTGGTTGGAGTGCTCTGGATTAGTTCTTAAATGTGTCTCCACCTCCCCATACTCTCCCTTTCCTGACTAGAATGTATGGCCAGAGAGAGGGGAACACTGGCCCTGGGAATGACAGGACAAGGACAGTTTTACTTCAATCTGGCCTCCCAGGAGCTGTGGAGCAGAACCAGTACCAAGGCCAGAATGGGCCTGTGAATTTGACCCAGTGACCCACTTCCCATTCACAGGCACACTGCTGAGTCTGCTGATTTACTCTGCTCCTCTTACAGTGTCCCCTGGGCCCTACAGGGCGTCCCAGTTCAGCTGCACCAGCTTCTCTAGGGTTCCGCAGCTCCCACAGGGCTCAGCTCCTATGGGTGTCCCAGTCTGTGTCAGGGTTCTGTCACTCTAAAGGGTACCCATCTCCTACAGTGTACACCAGATCTTACAGATTCCTTTAGATCTCACAGGATCTCCCAGTCCCTATGGGCCCCTCGGCTCCTGTAGAATGTGTCAGCCATTAAAGGGCACCCCTAGCTCTTACAATATACCCCAACTCCTAAGGGTCTCCCAGCTCCTTCATGGACTACTCTTGCATAGCCAGGATGTCTCGGCTGAAGTGAATTGCATTTGTGTGGCCACCTCTGAGGTGGCTGGAGACTATGAAAAAGATGTGAAGTGGGTCTTTTCTTGTAGCAGTGACATGAGCAGAGGTCACTCCACGGAGTGTAAGCTGCAGTTCTCCTCTGTGAGGTCAAGGCTGGAGACATTCTTCTCCACAATGGCCTCAGTTCAGCAGCACACTCTTCTCCACACTTGTCTTCTACAGTCTGAGAATGAAGTTTTATCAACACTGATGCCCAGGTAGCACTCTGGGCCCTCTGATCATCCACGCATTTGCCATCTCAGGTCACCTCTCCACGGGGCCCAGAAAATGCCACGCACCACTGTGCTTTGGTGTGATTCACTTGGCCACTTAGCCCAGGAGTCCCCAGTAGGTGTCCATGTAGTTCGAAGTTACTGTCCTTAAAACAGGGGTAATGATAAAACAATTGTATTCCTAATAGCTTCTTATTGAACAGGTGTTATGTAGTAGCCCTTCAATCTTCTAACCAACCATAAAATTGGCATTGATACACCCACAGGATAGAAACGAGACTGGCCAAGTGACACAGTCAAGTGTAGACTCCCTGACTTTAGAGTACACAGTCAACTCTAGAGCATGACTCTGTCATAAACAAGCAGGGAGTGTTTATATTGCAATCTATAAACTTAGAGGTCTGGGACAAGGCTGAGGAGAAACCAGGGCATTCTCTGATGCTGCTAAGACAGTCCACACCTCCCTGTCCCAGGTTCAGGAGACTCCCAGCATGGTTGCTTACATAGGTTGCTTACGGCCCTGCTGCCAACTGTTACTCTCTGTGGATGTCCCACATGCGCATCTGAGCGCACCCTACATGCCCCTTCTTCTTCTCCAAAATGCTTGGCATCTCCTGTCGTGGCTAAGACACCAGAATCCTGTCCTAACTCGCCTCACCCTCTCCACACTCCTTCCAGGCACCTGTGGAATATTTAACTACGTAAAGACGCGTTACATTTGTTTATGCTGTGAAATATTACTGTAGCTGTGTAATGATGGGTTACATTTGTTTCACCTTGCCTGCCTAGGGCACCTGATTGGTCTAAGAAAGAGCTGCAGTAGCTAGGCAGAGAAAGAAAGGCTAGGCAGGGCTGGCGGGCAGAAAGAACAAGTAGGAAGAGAAATCTAGGAAGAAGAGAGGGGAACAAAGAGGAGAAAGAAGGATACACCCCCGGGCCAGAAGCCAGTGCTGTGGATATTGTTCTATATAAATAAAACACTGATGGCCAGTGACCAGGCAGGAAGTAGGTTGCCAGGCAGGAAGTAGGTGGGACAAGGAGAGAGGAGAATTCTGGGAAGCAGAAGGCTGAGGAGAGAGACACTGCCAGCTGCCGCCATGACAAGAAGCATGTGAAGACACCGGTAAGCCTCCAGCCACATG